ATGCCCTGGATGTGGCAGCGGTACTAGATTGTTGCGAAAGCGTCAGCAGTGGAGTTGGCGCAGAGTGAATAGTGCACACCTGTCAGATCGGTCAACCTGGTATGTCCTCAGGACAATGAGCCGTAGAGAACAGCTTGCTGTTGACGCGTCGTCGGCGTAGCCTGGGCACCCGTCGGGGCAGGGTACGCCGAGACTCCGAGTAGTGCACATTCATGCAGGCGGTCATTGTTATAAAGCTGAATGAATGGTAAGGCAGGTGAGGCCATGGTAAGCGTTCTGACGCGTCGAGGAAAACAACCAGGCCTCAACGACGCACGACGCCATGCGCGCTCCGTGCCCCGATGGGTTGACTGACCTGACGGGTGCATATACGACGCCGACGACGCATTCCAGCTCTCACTCCGGCTTCAACAGCCTTCAACAGCTTCTCAGCCTCATCAACACGGCCTCCTCCGTGGCCTCAGCCCACTTGAGGCAGGGCCACTTGGCGTTCCGTACCCCGATGGATTGACCGAAATGGGGCTGTTCGCTAATAATAATAATAATAATAATATATCGTGACGGAGCGGTACCGATTAGACGGCACCTTGCGCGAAGCGAAATGGGGAACTCACGTAGAGTCACTGGGCCAGGTGATACGGCCGGCCTCAGAGTCGTCCTCCCGGACCCTCCACTAACTTCTCCATCGCCTTCCCCTGAAGTTCATCCTGAGTTGTCCTTGATCACCTCTCCAGTCACGGTGTTTCTTCTCTTGAAAGCATTCCTGTAGCTGTGAGCAATGCTACGGTAGAATAATGCATAGGGCGCTTAGCATCTGGCATATTTCCGCTGTCTCACGTTTTGCTCAAGCAAACCTGGAGCCACGCGGGGTGCGTTCTTGGTAGGTACAAGACAGCCAGTTTTTTTGGAAGGGGTGCTACATATCGCAATTTCTTAGCACTTTTTAGTTTTATTCATTATGAGATGTTCTACTGCGCAGATGAAGCCTCTCTTGTCTTATGCGGTCTTGATGACCGGACGAAGAACCGTGATATCTCTCCTATGTCGCTGTGTCGTGTTTCATCGTCCGAGTGTCCGGTGTCCCTCCATCGTTTGAGTCACTCCCTGTGACCAGCCATCACCGGTACCTCGGCCGATCGTCCCCTGTGCCGAGACATTGAACCATGGCTATCTATCCACCATAGTTTAGCATGTCTCAGTCGTCATCTACACTGACCAAAGGGCTCGGCCGCTGCGCCTCGAGAGTGGATGGCCCGAGCTGGAAACTCAGCAAAGACGACAGACCTCTCGAGGATATATGCCGGGGCCGAGCCGCGGGGGCCCAAAATCGCACGCGCGATCAGTCAGGAACAACGCACAGCTCTGATTTTCGACGAGTTTCGGAGATGTGAGCGACCAGTGTTTCAATAATGTTGCAATATTTCAATTTTAACTGTAGGCTGATATTCTTATCTCACGTGTCAGGCTTTTTAAGCTTCAACGTCGACAGCCATGATGTCGCTTGCTGCCCAAGATGTCGTTTACTGCCCAAGATGTCGTTCGCGAAGCAGGTAGGTACAGGCTGCCGCAAATGCTTGAGCTGCGGTGCATTTGACAGCTGGTGTACTGTTTGTAGGTCCCATGGAATGGCACCACGTACTGGTCAGCCAGCTAGGCTTTGACTCCTGCCCCGTCACCTTGGGAGAGTACGTCTCCACGACAGGGTCTACCTTGACGAAGGAAACGCTCTACCCGGCCCTACACACCATGATACAAAAGCACGGTGCGCTAGGCATGCAGATCCTTCCCGGAACCACGATCAAAGCTGTCCCGAAATACGTACGCCTGCACGAAATTGACCTGGACGCTGCAGTGGAGTTTCTCCAGGACGACTCGGTTTCGAAAGACGACTTGCTAAGCTCGCAGCTCGAACGCCCTTTTACGCTTGGGACGAATGCACCGCTGTGGCGTGTGACGGTCGTCAATGGCCGCATCGTCGTGTTCGCGATCCACCATGGCCTCGCGGACGGCCAGAGCGTTCGTGCTCTGCACGCTGCGCTGTGGTCCGCACTCAACAGCGTTAGCGCCGACGAAGAGGGCTATGGCAGCAAGGTCACCATCTCTGCGAATTCCTCCATCGTGGATTCCGCCGAGGCGTACACGGACATCTCGATCTCCCTTTCGGGCTTTATATTCCTACTCCGCACACTATTCACCCCGAAGAAGCTGCAAGAAGGCGCCACAGCATGGACGGGCAACCCAGTACCGAAGGCTCCTATACTCGATATAGCCGTACGGTGCCGGCAGATACCCGCAGAACAGATGGCGGAAATCCTGAAGCGCTGTCGCGATCACAAGACGACGGTCACTCCCTTTCTGCACGTACTCCTTGCCGGCGTGCTTTCCCGACTCCTGGTCGAACGCAAGCTCAACAAGAAGCTCAAGACCATCGCTGTCACGACGCCTGTTTCGCTGCGCCGCTTCACGGGCGTATCTGACTTCGAGCTGTGCGACCACGTCTCGATAGCCTATCATTTCTTTCCCATTGCTCCATTTGGAGTCAACGAACCCTTCCCATGGGACGCTGCGCGCAAGCTCGGCAAGGATCTACACGAAAGTCTACCGAAAACGCGTGAGCTTTTTGGCGTACTACGCATCATGCTGCGCCGTGGCGTCGCCGACACCCATTGGACGGAGATGCTGGGTAAGAAGCGAGGGGCTGGCCTGATCCAGTCTAATCTCGGAAGGTTCCCTATGGATGAGGCCCAGAAAGCGGATGACGCCAAGTGGAGATTGGAGGGTGTGTATTTTGCGCAAAGCGACGTCGTGACAGGGTGTGCGATAAAGGTCAACTTGACTGGTTCGCCGGAGGGATCAACGAATATCACGTTTTCATGGGGAAAGGGTGCGGTAGACGAGGACTTGGCAGAGACTTTCATCAAGGAGGTGGAGGCTACACTGGACAGGGTTCTTCGGTAGCTGTCGGATTGAGTGGGGTATTTTTTGTTAGCTACGCCTTTCAGCTGAGATCTGTTCTATTGTAGTAAGGCTTGCTGAGCGCATTTTGTGCGAACCATGGCGTATGCGTATAATTATTTGCTGTGCGGCTCAGAAACTCGCTGCATTACTCAAGAGCGTAACATCCGATGCAAAAACCAGATATGTGAAGTGGTAAAGCGATGAATATCGTGCGCGGATTTTGATTTTGGTATCATCGGGCGGCGTCGACTCGGAGCCGGCCACCGTACCGAAGTGGTCCGGTTGTGAGTGGTGGTCTATTAGTAGTTCTTCGACTCCCGGCCGGGAAAGATGGAGTTGACGAACTGTATGGTACAGGTTGTGATCGCTGCCGCAGGCAACGGAGGAAAGTAGCAGGGCGTGTGGAGAAGATGGTCTGCAAAGAAGTAGAGGACCCAGTGCAGCTGCGGTGGCTCGGACAAAAGTGGAGGCGCAACTTCCTTCAGCGCGACAGTTTCAACTTGTCGTGCATCTGCATACCAGCCTACGTCCCATAGAATGAGGCACCGTAT